GCAACCCATCTCTGGGAAACATCCACACACACATTCACACTCACACACTACGGACAATTTAGCCTACCCAATTCACCTAGCGCATGTCTTTGGACTGTGGGGGAAACCGGAGCACCAGGAGGAAACCCACGCGAACTCAGGGAGAGCATGCAAACTCCACACAGAAACGCCAACTGAGCCAGCCGAGACTCGAAACAGTGATCTTGCTGTGAGGTGAGAGCGATAACCACTGAGCCACTATGCCACCTCGCCTTTCATCATCAATGCTTCAAATCAGAGGAAATCACTAAGATCTGAACACTGAATCTATTGTATGCTCACACACACACAAACACAGCGTCAGACCTTCATGTTCAGTGCTGGAAACGGCCGGCTGGGGGTTAATCATTAGTGAAGTGTGTTTTCATACACTGTACAGATCACGAACAGGTGACCAGTGTGTATTTGCGCAGCCAGGTTTGTGAATGTCTTCTGTTATAATGCTGCTCTGAGCAGTCATGTAAAACTTACAACATATTAAACACAGTCTCAAATTCATGATCTCTCTAAATTTGAATATTCTTCACACATTTAGGATTATGATATACACTCACCGGCTACAATTCACACAGACTCACCAAAACTGGACAATAGAAGATTGGAGAAACGTTGCTGCTCTGATGAGTCTCCATTTCTGCTGACACATTCAGATGCTCGGCTCACAATTTGGCCTCAACAACATGAAAGCATGGATCATCCTGCCTTGTATCAGCGGTTCAGGCTGGTGGTGGTGGTGTAATGGTGTGGGGAAGATTTTCTTGGCACACTTTGGGCCCATTAGTACCAACTGAGCATCAACGCCACAGCCTACCCGAGTATTGTTGCTGACCATGTCCATCCCTTTATGAGCACAGTGTCTCCATCTTCTGATGGCTACTTCCAGCAGGATAACACACCATGTCATAAAGCGTGAATCATCTCAGACTGGTTTCTTGAACATGACAATGAGTTCACAGTACTCAAATGGCCTCCACAGTCCCCAGATCTCAATCCAATAGAGCTGCTTTAGAATGTGGTGGAACGGAAGATTGGCATCATGTGTAGCTGACAAATCTGCAGCAACTGTGTGATGCTATCATGACAATATGAAGAAATATCTCTGATATATGTTTCCAGTAGCTTGCTGAATCTATGCCATGAAGGATTAACCATACGTTCACACCGAAAGCGGAGAGAGCGTCAAAGTAGCCAGAAGTCATTCAATTTCAATGAGAGTCGGCGGCGATAAGCGGCGAGGAGCAGCGTGGCGCGTCTTCTCCGGCGTGAGCGTCGAGGAGAGTTGAAATCAAGTCAACTTTATGGTAATGAGCTATGACGCGGTTCGGCGGCAACCAATCAGAATGAAGACGTCCACCGATTGATAGGAGTTCAGAGAACACAGACCTGTGAACTTTGGTTCCGACCACAGTTGTTCCCAAGGGTTTGATGATTGCGGTCGCCGGATTTACAATGTTTTCTTACAGGATCATGCATTAAATAAGTTACTGGCGAGTTACTGATGTTCATTAATGTTATTTAAATTTATCTCAAAAAAGCGGGAAACTCGCACAACGTGACAGTACAAAACAGTCTAGCCGCTTGAGGATATTTCAGACATATGGACACATATTGGATAAATAAAGCAAAGCCACACCACACGCAACTTTATCTTCCAGTGTTATATGAATTTGATAAGACGTGCGCAACATTTTCACGCTAGAAACATGTTTTATGCAGGAATGTAACTGATATGCTGCAACGGCTCCTTTAAATACGAGATCAATGTAGCGAGTTTTGACGCTCTCGCCGCCGGAGCTGAAGGCAGAGAGCGTTGTCGCCAGGGCGGCCAGAGCGACCTTGGACGCTCTCGCCGCTTTCGGTGTGAACGTACGGTAAGGCAGTTTTGAAGGCAAAAGGGGTCCAACACGGTACTAGTAAGGTGTACCTAATAAAGTGGCCTCGGCTGCAGAAGTGGCCGGTGAGTGTATAATGTAGCAAAACAAAACACGGTAATGTCAGATTTTTCCAGCTCTAATTAAAGCATGTCGACCGGGATTCTGGGAAATGCAGTTTTTACAGTACTGTCAGGTTAAAGGCGGTGCTGTAATTCAAAACCTCGTGCCATCTGGATCTGCAGCGGCCTCCTGCTCACAAAGAGTCTTTTTTTCAGGAGGCAGGGCTGCTGTTTATTTAGTGTTCCCTCTTTTGTTGACTCTTATATGGCGCAGGTACAGGAGCGAGAGATGGCAGCAGATAGACACCCCTGCAATCCTCCACATGTGCACTTAACCTGCGGCTGAACTCCGGATACGGCCAACAGTTTCTGCAGACGGTCATGGGAGAAATGCTCACTTCTGCCACGGGGTTGTGAAACGCTTCTCTTCTCACGAATATATTATACACACAAAACATTTTCTGCGAAAATAAAACATTCATTGGATTTAATAAGTTTTAGAAAGATAAGGGGACGCAAACTATTGATATGGGCAGAATTTAAACAAACAAATTAAGTTCGGTTAACGTTAAATTAAGTTAACAACACAACATTTTATGTGTTTGTTTAAATTTAGCCCATAGATTTAGAACTTTTCCAAAGGTATATTATTAAGGCGAAAGTCAAAATGCTTTCCCAGAGATGAGTTGTGGCTGGAAGGCCATCCATTGCGTAAAGACGTGCTGGATAAGTTGGCGGTTCATTCCGCTTAGGCGACTCCAACTTAATAAAGGGACTAAGTCGAAAAGAAAATGAATGAATGAATAAATGAAGTCAAAAAGCACGAATATGAAACCTACTTTACCCTTATAGTATTCTTTCATGTGGGTTCTGCTCCTGAATGTGTTACAACGATCATATTTGAACCATACTATAGTAAAGTATATTATACTGTATATATTATAGTATTCACAACACTTTTTATTAACTGTAGTATTAACTAGTGAACTGATAAAACTGTAACAACTGCTGTGGTTTAGGCCTACTTTAGTTTTTACTGTGTGTAAAAGTACTGTGGTGTATGATAGTATAATATATAATTGTAGAATCTACAGTATTGGGTAATTGTTTATACTAATATAGTGCTTTATTACATAATATAAGAATCAAAAACACTAGTATTTACTATTAATTACTAATAGACAATTGGCTTTACATTCGCACATTCGTTCAGTTTTTCAACTTCTGACAAGGTCTCATGTTGTTTATTACACTATATTTTGAATATTTAGTCTGTAAATAAGACTTCAAGACAACATTAGCACTATTTAATTGACTATGAACAATGTTGTACTGTGAAAGTCATTGATTGGCTGCTAATATGATTTCATGGTTGAATATTTGCACTTTTCTGACAGTATATTATTTAGGAGAAAGACCAAATGTGTGAATGTGAAACCTACTTTACCCCTATTTAGTATTCTTTCATGTGGGTTGTGCTCTTAAATGTGTGACATCAATCATATTTGAACCATACTATAGTAAAGTACATTACTCTAAATATATTATAGTATTCACAACACTTTGCTGCTAATGAATGCTTCAGCATACTGTAGTATTAACTATAGTGAATTAATAAAACAGTAATAAATGCTGTGGTATAGGCCTACTGTAGTTTTTACAGCAGTAAACTGTGGTGTATGACAGTATAATATATCACTGTAAAAAACTACAGTATTGGGTAATTGTTTATACTAATATAGTGCTTTATTACATAATATAAGAATCAAAAACACTAGTATTTACTATTAATTACTAATAGAGGTACAATTGGCTTTATATTCGCACATTCGTTCAGTTTTTTAATTTCTGACAAGGTCTCATATTGTTTATTACACTATATTTTGAATATTTATTCTGTAAATAAGACTTCAAAACAACATTAGCATACTTGATTAACTATAAACAATGTGCTACTGTGATAGTCATTGATTGGCTATCTAGTATTTGCACTTTTCTGAATGTATGTAATTAAGGAGAAAGTCCAAATGTGTGAACGTGAAACCTACTTTACCCCTATAGTATTCTTTCATGTGGGTTGTGCTCTTTAATGTGTGTAACATCAATCTACTATATCGTATTTGATAGGCCAAGTTCTGGGAAACAATGGAACATTCACATCCTGAATTATGTAACTGTTTAACCCCATCCATCGCTACTACGCGACGCGACAAGAACGCTCGCGTCATAAACAAACATGCTGGAAGCGTTCCAAACGCGCGTTCGCTCACCAAGCGTTGCGCGTTTGGCTGCGTTCGCGTCGCAAGTCGAATGTACTGCTTTGGTCCTTTAACAAACATGGAGGTTCAGAAGAGGCGAAACACAAGCCAA